CGACCGCCAGTTGCTGGGAGTGCCACGTGATACATGGTCAGTGAAGAAGGGTCGGAGAATTGAGAACCACAGGTTGTTCAACGAAGCGCATCAGCACTTCAAGCAGGCGTCTGCAGACATAAAGAAGAAACACCTGGAAAACCGGCCAGGAGGAAGTGGGAAGTGTCTCTACCCAGCAGGCAGGGTGTTCGTGGTGGGAGAACGATAAGTGACGTTATCGTGTTTGATCATTGATGTTTGGGATTGGTACCGGAAAAGGTAGAGCTTAGTCAACTGTCATCAACTCTCACGGCTTTGCTGTGCTTCATTTAATTAGTTGTTGAGGTCCACTGCGGAAGGGACAGATCTTTGAAGCACCATCACGCGACAGTGACAGCGCCTCATTGCCACAAAGGCTGGTGGCAATTGACTTATGTACCTTGTCAGCTTCGCCTTTCAACCGCTGCAAATTATTGCGGCCTCAGAATTGGAATGCACAGACCATCGTCGATGCGCTCAAAGTATCAAACCTTGTGATTGTTGACCACCAGAGCGACATCAGCTACACTGACCAGATGCCTGGGCCTCAAGCATGTTGTTGATAGCAGTTAATGCTTGGCCACCTTTAAATGTTAAATTAGTTGTTTTAATACCTCATCAGTGTCAACAACACCACTGATTTTGATGGCTGTGCGCAGGCACCACATGAACCTGAAGATCCTGCTCGGGACTATTGCCTTGGGGTTGTCAACGGTGTCACGTGACCAGTGGGAGGCTGCCGCTGGAGACTCTCAACGTTTGACAGGGTGCATGATTGTGCATAAAGCGGCGCTTAAGTGTACAGTGGCATCCATTCTCTATAGTGACACGTTCAATGTGAAACATTCATCGATGCAGCGGTTTATTGATGCACTGGTAAGCCTTCCAGGGAGCAAGTGGAAGGTGGTGTCACGTGACAACATGTCGCGCGACAACTTGCCGCGTGGGGTTATCAATTTAAATCATCTTTCTGATGTATCCAAGATGCTGCGACAACTCCGGTTGACCGCCAAACGCGGACTCCAAGCAGCAAACTTCAATAGGGGTGGGTGAACAGCTGCGTGCCTGAGCAGCAAAGTTAGTTGAAAAAATGTTGGAAATAAGAGCTGCGTGCTGATTGAAACACAACCATCCGTTGAAAAAGTGACACGTTCCACTTGAATCTAGCCGTTGTTCTTTATTGATGTGTTCGATGTTTAGCTCAGTGATGTCGGGCGTCGTCCTGCAAGAGGCCTTGCAGTTGATGACCAACCTCGAGTTCGATCAAAACGTTTGCAGGACTGAAACTGGTGGTTCCAAACATGGTTCAGTGAGCAGCTACATCACGATTGATTACGTTTGCCAAACATTCAGTTTTCAGCGTTGAATGTGATTTGATTGGTTTCTTGAAACAATGTTCTTCCGCCATCAACCGCTTTGGATCAAGTCACTTGACTCTTGACTCACGACACTTCGCCAGACACCTGTTGCATCGCACAAATGGCCCTGGTGAACGATAATCGTGCTGCTCAGATTCCGGTGGGCATCGCCGTGCTGTCGAAGGATCAGTGGGATGCGTGGTTGGCAACACCACCTGGCAGTGATCATTTGACAGAAACTTGATGTTGATTTGGCATTGGACTTAATTTGAGGCCTGGTTCTTTGAGGTGTCTCGGTGACAGTGACTTATCAGTAGTGTCATTTGATGCCTTTGACATGTGTCATGTGTCATGTGTCATTTGAGGATAGTGACACGTGGCCGTTGACATTAAAGTTGCGGCTCCACAAGTCACCTTTGACAGCTGCCCTGTGGAAAGTGCGTGAGGACGCCAATGCCTTGAAGGTCAGCTTGTCATCTGCCACGAAGCACAAGGCCAAGTGTTTGCGGAAGACTGACCTTTTGACAGGTGGCTTTTGGCTGTGCGATGTCACGTTGCCAGATGACACGTTCCGCGAGTGGTTGAAGAAGGGAACGCTGGTACGTGACCAGGAAGAGTCCTTCACGTGTTACATGGACTTTTTCAAGATGATGAAGGAGCCATTTTGTCAAATGACACCTGCCATGTGGCAGTTGGAGGAGCGGCCATGGATCCACGCATGTGGGACGAGTCCACCAGCGCCACAGTGGACGTTCTACGTGCCGCTTGACAAAAAGACGTGTGACATGATGTTGCCAGAGTGCTGGGCCTGGATGGAAGCAGCCAACCATCGTGACATGTGGGCACTGCTCAAGAGGAATCTTGATTTCTGCTTCAACAGTGATTTTTGTGTTTGTCATTGTTGTTTTAATTGTAGCTGGCGCGTTTTAATGATTGATTGAAGCTAAGAGGCATGCTGGCCGACGCGGTGGCAATTGGCCTGATGAAGCAGTCCCAATGTTCGAGAAGAAGAAGGAAGCTGTGATCCTCATGGCATGCATGTCATATGACAGCAACCGCATGGTCACCGTGTCAGTGAACGCAGCCACAGCGTCCAAGTTCATCAGACCCATGCCAGGGATGATGGATGTGTGGTACGCGCCAGAGGACGCCTTGCGCGAAGCAGCTGGCAGCTTGCAATGGTCCGTGTCATTTGTTGACTTGAGCACCAAAGCATCACCTCACAGCCGTGACAATTGCAAGATGGCATTCTTCCACGAGAAGAAGAGAAAGAGTGATGCATCAGCTGTCATTGACAGGACAGACGGACTGCTGTGGCTTCTTTTGATTCGGGTAGTTGATCGCCTTGCTTAAAATAGTCGATTTTATATTCATTTGATATTCTAGATTGATTTTCGCTGTCAAACCAAGTTCATGTTCAAGAACAATCTGATCCAAATCAAAAATTTGATGCAAATCACGCGCAGGATCAACGAAGACATTGAGCGGACAGATAACATTTGCAAGCGCCTGAAGACCATCAAGGAGGAACTGGCGGCTGGCACGTTGAGCAATCGAACGGCGTTTGAACAGCACAGAGAGCTGGGTTTGATGCTCCAGTGACTTGTGATCTGTGACCGTTTGGCGAGTGATGGCTCCTGAGTCTGCCACCACATGTCGCCTGATTTTGAATGATGCTGCGATGTAGGTTTTTGTTGATTGACGCCTAGGCAGCTACAGCTAATATCGCTGGCCATCTCCCTGAGTGAAAGTTACAGCTGGAGTTTCAGATTCAGATGTGAGTCATGTAAGTGTGAGAATGCGAAGTCGCTTTAACTTGACGATTGGGTTTTGTCACAAACCAGTGCATCTTTGAGATCTCTGATGGTTTGCAGGATTCAGATGACACAGCTGGTCAGAGGCAGCGTTATGAACATATCGAATGAGTTGGATTACACTCATCGCGTTTCATAATTGACACTTGAGATGATGCATTTCACAAACAGGTTGCTCTTCGAATTCCAGTCACTGGTGCTAATCCTTAATTTGCCTTGATTGAGCCAAGGTGGCAGTTATTAACAGTGATAAAGTGTTCAGACACATGACTCTTGGAATCTGGATGCGCTGCTTGATTCAATTCATGACGACATCCTGCACGCATGGCCCTGACAGGATAGTGCCGCTGCCAAGCTTTGTAGGACGTCTGAGTGAGGCAACTTCCACGTGTTGTCGTGCTTTACTGTGTTTGGATATTCAGCATTTTTTCTTTTTGCGTTCACGGAAATACGGTCTCACAAAGAGACGCTGAGCCTTTGAACTGCGCGCCAGGCTGACCTGCAAGTGAATGCTGCGTATGACAAAGCTGGTTGCCACGAGACACGTGACACTCTTTGAACATAATTGTTCGTAGACCAGGTGAATCAGGCAGCTTCATTTGAATTTGTGTCACAGTTTGACATTTGACAAATCACAGTGGCAATTCAGATCCACTGCAGCGCAGCCGCATCAGATAGGTAGTCGCTTGCGAACTCAGACCAGCATGGTGGGCTGTTGAATTTGTGACCCTTACACATGTTTCTTTCAAATTTCATTCAAATTCATTCAAATTTAGTTCAAATTTTAGTCTTGCAAATTTGAACTAAATTTGAATGAATTTGAATGAAATTTGAAAGAAAACCATGCATTTTTGCAGTTTTGTTGATTAAAGTGCTACAAACACCAGTCCCAGTCTGGCCTGAACTTGGCAAATTGTGGCTGGCACCGCGTAGAATGGGGTCGCCAGACTTTGAGCCCGGCGCTGAACAACCTTGAACAGAGTGGTTGTTCAGCGCCGGATGGGGACAGGAGACATATGACAGCTTGACAGGAGAAAAAAGGCTGAAAACAAACCCACGTTGAAACAAACGGTGATTGTCAATCATTTGATGTTTTCCGGTGGCAAGGCCCTTCCACTTCTGCCGGATGACAATTGCCACATGAACATTAATCACATGCTTTGATGAATTAAATGACAGCCAAACGTTTTGGCAACGTCAATTGTCATGACCTGGATGCTTAATGTCCCTGAATTGGTTACCCTTACACATGGTTCTTTCAAATTTCATTCAAATTCATTCAAATTTAGTTCAAATTTTGGTCTTGCAAATTTGAGCCAAATTTGAATGAATTTGAATGAAATTTGAAAGAAACCTATGCATTTTTGCAGAGTTTGTTATTCTATCAACACAAGGCTTTGCAAACCCCACCATCCCTGCATGACAAAAAAGATTTTTCAAACCAGTCGAAACGTCCACCCAGGTAATATATTGGCGTGACTATGATGTATTTCAATCAGTTCAATCATTGTCAACCCCCATGCAGTCATATAATTATAAGCAAGCTACAGCATAGCTATGGTAGTCCTTTATGAGACTCTGTGCCCATTGCAGCTACGTGTGCTTTCCTGGTTTGGCGAAAGGATGGGAAAGCCATCTCATACTGTTGGTTTGGTTTGTGTATATCAGTCAGTCAGTACTTCAGAATGTTGAGAAGTTCTTTTTTGTTCCTACCTATGTGCCACAAGTGTGTGGAACGTTGAACCTTCTTTGTACCAAACAGTACAGTCACAGTCAGTACCGTCCCATGAACCGATCAGACTTCTCCAAGGTGGAGGAGAGTGGCAAAGAGGTGACGGAGAAGGGCCTCCTGTACTTCCGGATGCTCAGCTGGCTTTTTGTGGGGTCCACCTGAGTCCACCTCCCACACTGTATTAGATGCCATGTTGTTTTCTTGGACATGCTTCCCGTTCCGCAAGGTGAAGTGTTGAAACGTACTGCTTCCTAAGCTTCCTGGGTGGGTGGGTATTCTCTTGAGTTTTTTTTTGTTGCTGAAAATGCAAAGAGGGTTTAACCTCACCCTTTCGGGAGATTGAAAGGGTAAGCCAGGCTCCGCATTTTGTTCGAGCTGCCTGAAGGATTGTTGACCAAAATAACTGCAACCATATTGAGTCTTGTTGGGCCCCATCATGTGAGGATGCTACAACGTTGGGACAAATATAAATCATTGTGAGGGGATGTGAGTGGTGGATGCTTCATTACAGGACCCACAGCTATGAACAAATCAGACAGATGAGGAACCAATTTCCATGCCCTCTTGACAATTAATCCAGTCAGTCTGGACTCACAGCTGGTGACCGTGTTCGGATGCGTTAGATTGTTAGATGCTGGCTTTGCTTGGAGACTTCTTTCTGTGCAAGTCTCACTCCAAAGGAAGTGCCTGGAATTGTCCATTGGGGGTCTCGGTGCCTCATGTTCACCCCCACGTCCTCATGATTCCCATTCGTCCGCATCGGCGCACGGCACGCGCACGATGCCCTGCTTGCTGCCGGATCCAGCAGCCGCGCGCGGCTTCCAGGAAGCCGGATGTGAATCACACGGATGGCTTCAAACTCACCAGCGACGTCCCAGTGACCTTCCGTATTTACGTGACTTGGCCGAACTCGCTCGATGAAACTACTGATGGCGATGTGATGTGAATAAATAGGCCACACGGGGTGTTTCAAGGCAGGGCCCAAGACAGATTGGGCGTCTCCAAACAGTCACATGCTCAAGAGGTATAGGCACGTGAATCGACGTATGTTACGATTCTTCTGTATCTCGTATTTTCCGGTGACGGCTGTGCACTCAAAGAACTAACATGCAATGTCGTCACCCAAATTTGAAGAGGCAGTACTGCCATCTTCCCTTGCACACATTTGCACACTGTCAGACAGTTTGCAGACCATGGGGAGTTTTGGACACCAGCATCCTTCAACCTTAAAATCAGTTTCACGTTGATGTTGTTTCCACGATGTTTGCCGGTCCTGAGGTGGACGACAAAGGCGCCGGTGCCATGGACGTCTCTTGAGTGTTGAAACAGGGCGTCTGACACGGCCGGGAGGGGCGAACGCTTGGGCTTGGGCGGTATCTCCCAATCTTGGGCACCTGGTGACATGACGCGACTAGAGCCAGAGCTTGGCGAACACATCTTGGTGCCCTACGTGATGGTGAAAACCGGGGGGACACGGGTGGACCAGGGAAAAGGAACTGTAGCGGACTACCAGGGCAGGGGAGGTCAAGCTTCAAGGGATTGGGGTTCCAGGTTTTGATGTCAGCATGCTTTTGTATAAATAAAAATATATATATATATACACACCACATACATTACATAATATTTTATTTGGTGTTTGTTATTCTTTGCCTAGCGGCGCTACAGATTTCGCCCCAAAGAGCGTCCGGCCCAGTCATGGCACCACGACCATTCGGTGTCCAGCGGGGAGAGGTGACCGGAACGAGCCGTCGTTGTTGAGGTCTCTATGGCCTGAGGGCTGGCCACACGGGCCAAGGGGCCAACAAGAGCTATCAGCATCCGGACAAAAAGGCGTCACGTGCCAGACTGGACCGGACGTGGTTGTAGATGTTTATGCAGGAGCAAGGGATACACTGGGCAGAAGCGGAGGAGGAGGTGCTGTGTACATGAAATCAATCCACCTGTCGGCCTTGAACTCTTCGACTTCAAAAACTTCAATCAGAATCGTAACCTGGGCAACAAGAAAGGGTTTTTAGCATCGGGGAGTGGACATGTCCGACTCGGCCGTTGAGGAGGCCAGGCCAGCTGCAAAGCAAAACAGCGGGCACTTGAATGGGACGGAGATGTGTTCATTTCAATGAAATGTAGATCATTGTGGATCGCTTGTTGATTCGGCTCCTTCCGTGAAAATCGCACAACTTTGGCCAGCTACATCGCGACGCAAATTGAATGAGTCTCGGATAGTTTGAGACTGTGTTTGCACGTTTTGGCTTCAGCTGTAGTTTGGCACGGGGGAAGGCAGCTTCTTCCGGGCAATGATGACAGAAGTCTAGCTGTCAAGGCCGGTGGGCCAAGGCTGCTGGGCTTTTCGGCTCAGTTCAACCGAAATCGAAACACCAGTTAGTTAGAATGGTTCATCAGTTAGATTCGATAATGTTAGATCGTTGAACTTGGGCTAGAACTGAAGCCGCAGATGATTCATCGGCGATGCCCAGGATTGTTGGTTGGAGAAGTTAGACTCACAGTGACAGGAATGCTGCTGTTCTGCTGTTGCTCTATTCCCGTTCACTTTTGGGCAGTTGAAATCTTTTAGACTACAGCGAAACATGGACTTGTGGGGGGTAGGGTCATTGTTCGAGTAAGATGTCGATGCCAGTGCTTGCGAAGTGGCAGCTTCGTTCCAGTTGTGCGCAGGCCCACCAAAGTTTCGTTTTGATCAGCGACAAGACGGTATCCTATTAAGTTATTATTGTTAGTTTTTCCCGTAATCCCACAACTAATTACAGGCCGGTCATTATCCCACACTACCAGTAGTGCTGAGCACGGGTGCAAGAAAACATGAGGGACATTTAAGGCTCGCACTAGGTCAATAGGCACTTCTTCCTCCAAAATGCTGAAGCCCATTTGTATATTGAAGTGAATCCTGCGTGGGGGACATAGCTTCAGCTGTTGGCATGAGTGGAAAACCCTGCCTCCAAGGAGCCAGACCAGTGATCCAGTAAACCTAATCATGTTGGTTGGATAGAGATAGAACAGTAGATCTTTGGGTCCATATGTGTATTACTATATTTTTATATACTACTTTATAGTGTAATGTAGACAAATACATATTAAATATGTGACGATTCACTCCCACTGTTTTGTTTTCAGGCCTTTGTTGATCACCCATGACCATCCACCGCTTCACTGATCAGTATGGACCTGTTTCATGATGTCTCATGTTTATCGTTCTCTTCCCTCATGTTCCTCTAGTAAAACATGTGTCCTTGCAAGTGCCCAGCTGGATGTCTCTTTGTCCTTTCAGGGCCGTGGGAAAGCCACAAGAGAGCGCCTCTTAAGGAGGATGTCAGAGGCGGGAATTGTTGAAGGACTGCCAAGGATTCAGAATGATTCAGGCTGATGTTCACCAAGTGGATATGCCAGGGCTCCAATGTTTCACCAGATAAAGAGGTGCAGCGGCGTACAAACTCAACACCCCTTTTTGAGGATCCTGGAAAAGAGTTGCGGTTCCAAGATTTGGACGTGAACTCACCTTCTATTGTCTTCGATGGTGTTCATTCAGTAAGACTCTGATTCGACAACCCGAGCTTGGAACAGTTCTGCGTAGACACTTGCAGGACATCCAGGAAGTTTTTACATCAGCTTTGCCATGAATTGGCTCAAACTTTCTCCGGATGGAATCCAGAGAGGTTGGCCACTATAAGCTGGACAAATGGTTGGTTCGTTCGTGCGCACCAGACGGCACCCAAAACCGGCACCCTTGGATCAAGACCCGTACGTACGCGCTCGGGAGTGTTTGGATGCCCATATTGGATATCCTTCGCATTTCTCCACCGGGCCGCCTCATGAGTCGTTTTTGGGTGCAAACAGATGCAACATGTGGTTTGTGGGTCGCTCGGACTTCAGCGACATCCAAACAGGATGAACAACACTTGTGTTCGACTTGGTCAACCGCGCGCTTACAGTGACCCTCTTCGGTCAGGCCTTTTCGCCCTTCAGTGGCCGTTCCTCCGGCCACGTGGATGGAGAAGTCGACTTCCTCCGGTGGAGTATGCGGGGGCACGGAGTCCAGGTCAGCAAAGGCAGTCTGATTCTCGGGGGCTTCGAAGCATCAGCCATTGGTGTGTTGGATGCCAATTAGATGCCATTGGTGTGTTTGGCAGGAGGGCGACAGATGCCGGAATACACACACTTAGACAACAATGAACTTATTGAAGCATGATCTTTCTATGTTTGCAGGTTGCAGGGGACAGACGCTACCCTAAGATTTTGAGACTGCTTCAATAAGGTGAGGTTGCTTCCCTTGAAAGAATCTAAGCTAGCAAGTCGTGCTGGGCAGTGGGTCAAAATAATTTGCACATGCAAGACTGACAAAAATTGGATCGGTTTTGACTACCAGAATCCCAACAACCTGGAAGGCTGAAGATAGCTGAAGCATTGGTCAGTGAAAGGAATTTCAACATAAAACAGAGAGCGTTGAACAAAGAGGACGGGGTGGAATACTACAAAATGTTTTCCAACTTTTTAGTAGACCTATTGCGTTCGCAATGGCCAGTTGGATTTTGGCGGCGTCGGGGCACTTGCTAGCAGGGTATCAACAATCCGGATGATGAAGATGGATTGTCAAGCAGCACAAGCGTCACCTTTGGAGCTAATCCCCTGCCCCCTTTGAGCTGATCAACAAATGACAACCACAGGATAGATCGAGAATCAAGTAATTATAGACCTAGACCGGTCCACTCTCGTACCAACAAAAGTCCCAAAAGTCAACCTGTGCGTCAACACTGTTTCTTACGTTGGCTCTGACATACTACTCTGACAACCCTTCTTGGTAATCGGTGAATAAGCTGTTGCCAGCACTATACACGCCCGGTTATGCTTTAATTCCCGCCCTGAAACCATGTGAACACATTTGACTGCGGTCGTTCATGCCTTCATGACCGCATGGCCAAGCCAAGGCTTCGAGAATAGCTCGGTGTTTGAGGCCGGTGTTCGAGAATAGCATGTCATGCCGGTCTTCTTGTTGTTGTCAAGTTGTTGGTATGGTTTAACAGAAGTTCTGAACTTTGTCGGCAGCAGAGCCAGTAGAGCCAAGCTCATTTTTGTTGAAAGTCGCTCGTGTGCATGGGCCTTTGCAAACGGTGAATGCTTGACTTGAATGTCTCCTAGGGTCTAGAGTTTTTTGGGTGTCAATGCGTTTCCGCGCATATCAGTCTTTTTAGCGTAGATAGCACAAGACATAGTCGATATAGTTTGATGTCACGGACATTAACGGTAATACCAACATAATTACCTTAGCCGGCTCCGTACCGGCTACATGCTCCCCAGTACTGCGAGGAGGAACTCAGAACACCACGGATCAAACGACTAGGGCTACGACTGTTCGGATTCGCGGGGCTGGGCTGGGCGGCAGGGATGTTTCGGTTGATTGGATTGAACTGCTCAGGGATGTCCATGAGCCAACTTGAGGTACGTGAGGTAGCTGTTTGTGAGCCACATCTTACACTCGTCCTTTTTTGGGTGCAGCTGTTCTTGGATTGCACTTAGAGCAGTGATGTGGAGTGGTTGGTTCCAAGGGGTTCGTTTCACAATAAAGCAGTGTGTCAGTGTCAGTGTGTCATTTCCGTGCTATGATCACCTCAGTTCCTAACGCTTGCAGGCTAGATTCTTGCAGGTCTCACTTTGATCCAAATCTTGGCGAGTTTTGTTCTTCTATTTATTGAAAACCCCTTCCAGACTCAGTGTAGAGGGCAGCGGTGAAGTGGACACCCACAAATATTGAACGGTGTGCAGCGGAACAACTGCACCAGCTTTTGAACACGGATATTCGTTGAAATGCCCTTACAGTGCCTGCTTCCAGTTGCTTTGGTACTAGGTGACGCCCGAAACCGCACCTGGGACCCTCACCACACGCACTCACACTCAAGTGGCCATGTTGGTCAAAGCCCCTGTGACCGAGTAAACTGTCACGGTGGAATCTGAGCATGTCGCGTTTTGATGCCTGACGTGCCTGGCGTGCGACCGTGTAAGTGTAAGCCTGCGCGTTGTGAAACAAAAGCGTGTGCCTGGCCGGTCTCCCCCACCTTTGCAGGGCGCCAACGAGGACGACTTCGAGTATGGAGGCTCAGGAAGGTGGCGTTTCGCCGCCCTTGGCACCAGACCTTTCAAGAACCAGATCTGCCGGCGAAACGCGCGGCACAAAGCCTAAGCCACTAAAACCGGCCTTTTGCCGGACTCGACCATTTTTTGGGTACACCCTTCCTGCCTTCTGAGGCGGTCCCTCTCCAATCATCCGGTGGTTTTCCACGTCTTGCCGATGTTGGGGATTTGCTTGGAGGATCTCTTTGTAAATGATCGAGGTTGAGAGACCATATAGGACCCTGTAGTGGTACATATGGGATGGGCGACAAAGGGCTGTTCAACCTCTGGATGTGAGTGTATGTGAGTGTGCATGTTCCACCTTTTCTTCTCCTTTGCGGATCCGAAGTAGGAGATACTGACATCCGCCCTGGGGCGGCTGTGTGCCGAGGTCGGATGATGAGGATCAGGCGGATGAGGTGCAGCTGCAGTGAGTGTTTCCCCATGTTCAGTGTCCTTTCATTGAGCGAGTTACCTTCCAGAATTGTAAAGCACCACAGGACCACCATTCCACTGAATGAATTGCGTGATAGCTCTGCTGGAGTTCAGACAGCGGCAAGGTGCGCATATGTTTGTGCAATTGTTTGCATCTACAATCATCTATAATATGACGGTGAATGTGGCTAATCTTTGTATGAGCTAGACACAATCACCGCGACCCGCAAGGAATCTCTAGTGACTCTAGTTTTGAGAGATGTTTGGTTTTTGTTTTGAGCTAGCAGCTAGTCGCGAATCAAGCCCCTTCACCACATGGGTTTGGATGGGTCACAGTGGGGTCAATGGGGCATCATGCTTTCCCATGAGAAGGGTTCATCGTGACGGATTGGATGGCTCGTCTCTCCGCTACCTCGCTCGACCTAAAAACGGGCACCTCTCCCAAGGACCATTCACTGAAGGGGAAGTCCCAGCTTCTCGCGTTGTTGCGGATGAGTCCTCATGAATCATTATACTCATTCATCTCCCTGTAGAGTTTGTTGGTGTTCCCGAACCATTACTAGCACCATCATGCTTGAGTTGAAGCCCAACCTGAGCCATCCCAGTTCCCACTCAGTTCTCTCTTGGTCAAGGCATGTCCTACGGTCTCTCAGGTCTCAAAAGCGGTCTGAGCACGCTCCATTTCACCTCAATGCTACGTCGTTCCTTCAGCCTGTCGTTCCTTCTGCCTCCGTCCAGGGTCGGCGCCGTTTTGCTGGTTCGAGTGGCGCATTCCGGAGTAGATAGACTGACACACGCATAAAGGCAGAAGTTGACAAACTGATAGGTATAATGATAATAATAAGTTGCGTGTACATTTGAGATCATTTGAGGTAGTTCGTGGCAGTTCACCAAGCAACCGACCACAAAGGATCTCAGACATCGTGCCATGCTTTTTTCGCTTGCCACCTTCCAAGAAAGGAGGTTAACCCATTTTTGTTGCGCGCAGTGTTCCAGCGCACGGGGGTTTCCGAGGTTCCCAGCTGACGGTGTTGTGAAACCAAGCCATGTATTTGGAAACCATCATGTTTGGAATTCAGGGAGGGCACATGACAGCCTTGTGGCATCTTGTGGCGCATTCGTCCATAGAACTCCGACTCGAGATGCAGCCGTGAGTTGCGCATGGGTGGAGCCAAAGGTGCTCACTCAGGCACCTGGGAGTGAGACCTTGACGGGGTGAATTCGAAGAAAGCAGCTCCAAGCAACAGCCCCATTGAGGCTGTCCCTTGCGTGACACGGGCACGGGTGGACCTGGTCCGTGGACGAGCAGCGTGAGACGGGCGGGGGACTGGACCTTGTTTGCCCAGATGGCCATGAGTTCCAGTGGTTTTGGGGGACCCAACAATTGAGTATGATGAGCATGATTGGTGGCACAACTGGTCATGTAGCGGTGACGCTACCGGAGTTTTCCTTTTGCTTTAGCAAACATGAATTATAACATATTATAACCAGAGTGGAGGCCTATCTCACTGAGAAATCGCCCCGACATTTCATTTTAGTGGCCAGGGGGCCCCCCCTTTCAACTCCACCCTGGCACGGCTCTTTGTCAACGGCTAGAAAACACTGTAAATAACAATTTTTAAATAACTGCTATTAAATAACAATGTTTTCAGCTCCTCCAGTCTTCAAGAGTGGCCTCAAACCACGTAATTTACAGTTTTTTTGGTGGCTGTCCGGCAAAAAAACTCGTAAAAACCGATGGTTTTTGAGGTGTCTAGGCTTCAAACATGGTCGACAAATTGCAAAATACCAGGGAAGATTGTGTCGGATTTTTTTTTTTCGGTGTTTGGAGGCTCAAAAGGGCAAGAATTGATGGTATTTACGCGGTTTTGTGCGCCTTCCCGGCACAAAACTGTGCAAATATCGATGGTTTTAAGCTATGTAGGCTTCAAAGTGGCCACAAACTCGGCTGATCCAAGCACCGAAGTTCGTCTCTCCCATACAGCCTCGACTCTTTTTTCACGGTGTACGATTTAAGGTTTGCAGTGTGGCATTTTGCCTCCTGGACTTCTACCAGGGTTACTTGTGCTTGCCTGCTACCTTTCGTTCACCCCCTCCTCTCTCAAGTTTTCTTCAAAGTAGTCCATGTCAAGCCCTTGGCGACGCCTCAGTCAACTGGTGGTTTGTGCGTTTCGCATCGATGGGTGTATGATGCCTGTGTCAACTCCAACAGGGTAGCCACAGACCTGCAACAACCCATCAAAGATGACCCCAAGGTGTCCGTGTCTAACACGACATGGGTGACTCTTTGGATCAAATCTCAGAAATCCCATCACGCAATCTACTACGGTATATAGATATTTGGTGAGAGTCGAGGTATCCGTGGGTGACCTTCACATCGACTTCGCTGGTTTGGGCACTGGTGAGCCTGTCAGTGTTCAGGGTTCAGTTCATGAGGCTGAAAAAAAAATACAGAACCTGATTCATGAAAGAAAACTTCATGCCATTCAGGGTGATTGCCTAAAGAAAGCACCAGCAGCAGCACCACATTTCGCCCCTTCGCTTCTGTTTGATGTTCTGCTCGTCTCGCGGCTCTCGCAGGCGCGCCATGCTCGACAGGCGGTCTCCTTCCTTTCTCCAGCGCATCAGTGAGGGTGGTTTGGATTTGTTGGGTACCTGGTAGAAACAAATATCTGAGGTTGAGTCACTGGACTTGGTCACATGTGCTCAGTTTTCAGGATGGCTGGCTGACACATGCTGACACCCCGCAGTGGGTGTTTTGTTTCGAGGACTCGAAATGACAGGAGGACAAGCAGCCACACTTACATCGATGAGCGCTTGGCCACTGCAGAGGACAAACATGGGCGCCCATTGAATCTCCAAACCCGGTGCTGGTGACCCTTTTGAAGGGACTTGTTCCTTCACCTACCGTGATGTGAGTGGCAACGTCAATCCATTCCAAGATCATCAGAGCAACCCGGTCGCTATGCGTTTTTCTCTTTTCGGTCCACACGGCGGTCGACAGGTTCCGGCGGAACACGTCCAAGAAGAGCACGGCGAGTATGGAGTCCAAGGCGAGGTCTGGCGGTCGGCGGAGCGTCTGGTACTGGCGAATCAAAACTGGATCAAATGTGCTAGTCTCGAGTACAGCGTCGGACCTGAGCAGTGACCGCTAGGACTACGATCAATCACTGGATTTGCCATCCCTTCTGGGCTGGGAGCAGGTGTCCAATTTTTGGCTCTAAACCTCTCGGGTTCCACGGCTGCCTTGGGTAACAGATGTAGTTCGACCGTTCTGTCCACGTTGTGCCCATTTGGTTCTCCAAGCTAGGTGGCTGGGAGGATCGGTCGGTCACTTCCAACGGACGAGTGGACTTGACCGCTGACTTCTGCGGGGCGTCCAATGTGAGCATCTCCACACGTGTCTCCCGAGTTCCTGGGCGAAAGAAATGCATGGTTCATCTTTGAATGGTCCATCTCCAGAACATTCCAGACCCACCTGCCTATGTTAAGACTCTTTATATCTTATATTCATCCCAAAAGAAAAGACCATCAATGTATGACATATATGCTACGTTGACCCCCCAAACCACCCCAATGTTGGTAAATATGTCATACATTGATGCTCTGGGATATGGTTATAGTAACAATGGGCACGAGGTCGAACGAGACCGTCCAGGTTGAAAGATGTTGAAAGCCTGCCATCGCCCAGCCTGTCGTCGCCAGGAAGAGGAGAAGACCAAAGGCAGTTCAGCCTCCTCCCCAAGGACTTCCAGGCGGGCCATCTATCAATATATCTATTGGCTTTCCTGTCATGGCCGGTTCTCCTGCACTAAGAATTGCATAGAATTGCAGGCAGCTTGAGGCAGGTGAAGGAAGATGAGGAGTTTCGGAACTCCCATTTCCGGCGGGGTGTCAATTCGTTTGCGAAGCACCTATGTCAAGAAAAAAGATGAGCTGCATGTTTTACGCCCCAGCGAGAATTCTTTGCCGGATAGCGTCCTCGCCTGAGGGATGTGGATCATGCTTGGCAACTGGAGGATGAGAAGGACGAGGAAGTGCGGCAGGCGGATGATGGGGAGTACACGGGGTCCAACACGCAAAAATCGACTACTAGACTACTATATAGAATAATATATATATATATATAGAGTTTGACTAATTCTGTTTAGTAGACAGGAGCTCACGGCCAGACGGTTCAGCATTGACTAGTAGGGTGTTGGCAGATCAAGTCATGTTTTCTCTCACACGTTCTTTTAATCTATGAGATCTCATTACGCCTCTTCCAGCTTAGCTTTCACCTCACCACACATTCCACATGATCAATGTTCCATACTTGTTTCCTCGCCTCCCTGGGCACAAGCTCTCCAGGTTCCTTTGCAGGTTCGCCCAGTTCCCCCCTGCCCGGACTTGATCCAGCGGACTCCCTTCGCCAGGTTCGAGCTTCCAGCCCTGGACTCGTTCACCTGGCACGCTTGGTCTTTGGACTCCCGGACTCGTCGGTCCGGCCGATTCCGTTCGGTCGAGAACGAAGTCGATGCGTCGGGCGAGAGCGCACGAGGCGTCACGAGCGATTGGAGTGGCGATTGGAAGATCCAGGGTTGGTCTTTGAAAGCGCTTGTGGGCCTATCGGAATCGTTTTGTCGTGTGATGGTGATCATATAGGCAATATGTTGGGTCTGTTCCATTTCCTGTAACAGTGGTAAACAGTGATCACTATTTTTGAGCAAGGCCTTGACTAACCATCATCATCCACTGCTACTGGTAATGGGATAGACCCAAGCGATAGGTGTCTAGGTTAACTGCGGCTACGTGAAATCGCTCGAGCGGGAAGGGTCTCAACTCCCCTCGCACACTTACCGTTTGGAACAGGACGTGCCTTTTTGGCAAACGACCCGGCAGTGTATGACATACATAGCACAACAGATGCAAAAGCAACGAGCGCACGACAGAAGAGCTGGGGCACATTAGAGGTGATAGAGAAGATCGTTGGCCACTCCATATCGTGTCGATTGTAGAAACTCATCGAAACTTTTGTTCACGACTGCCTGACATGCTGATCGTTTGGACAAGGCCGAAGGTATAGTCGGTGCAATCATGAGTTGCAAAGGGGAATGGCCCAAGTTGGAATTGCTGTGAGTTGCCCACCCAAAATGCCGTTAATTGATGCTAGCAGGGCCGGACATGCGGTGGCCTACAGCGCCACATCATCGAGATTCGGTTCCAATTCTGTGCCACGTGGGCCGTTCAGAACGTGGTCCCCACCAATTCGGTGCCAAGCGAGCGGTGCCGTCCGTCGGTTTCAGTCGGTTTCTTGCAACATCCCGTCGTAGCACGGTGTCCTGGGTGCTTGATGGTCCTTGTTTCCGACTGCAGGCAGCCTCCCCACAGTCGGCAGGCAGGTGGGGGCCATGTTCACAGAACTGGGCGCCATGCATCGCTTCACCCAAGGTTGGTCTACTCAAGGTTGGTCGTCACGTGCCACAAAGACAAAGATTTGTAGGCCTCCTCAATCTAGACCGGTTTTCCAAAGAGAACGGCTTGCCATGGCTTGCCGTCAAAGATCGTGACGTTCGTGGGAGAAAATAATCATGTAAAAAACATACACGGTAATCTCTTGTTGTCCAGTTTGTGTTTTGGACTTGATGTATAGTTCTTCTCCCACATACACCACAGGCTGTGCAACTACAGATGGTAGTTTACGGAAGGTGATTGAAATCCTTTTGAGACTGTGGTGAGGTCAAGGACCCCAGCAACAATCCCATCTCGGTAGACCGACCGAGCGTCCCCCATGACCCGAGGCACCTCTTCGAAGGAGTGCAGCGACCTCTTGGGTGTGAAGGGCGGATGGTCCGCCAGAGGGTCCACCCCCTGCGACTCCCCCACTGGAACCGCTGGACCCTGGTTTTTGTTCCCCGTTCTGTTGGGATCCTACATCGTGGCGTTCTTTGTTTCAAGATGATGTTCGGTGGCTTTGGCAGAGTAACTTCCTCCAACCCTTTGACTTCACACCACCTCTCTGAAAAAGATCTTTGGATTTGGTGTTCACTAGCCTGTAGCCACCTGCAGCCGATCTTCTTTGGCTTGTTATAGCAGGTGGCGCCATCCGATTCGAGCCATGTGGCGCCTTGTCCTCACCTCGGCCTTGGCCACAGCAGATGTCGCTCTGCGGGGTAGCCGTCTCGTGGCGATATCTAGTTGTGGTGGCGGGATGTGGATGCCCCCCTGGGCAGACTGGTCTATTTCCCGAACTGGGTCGAGTCGTTGCCTGGGAGGTCTCCCTTTTTGGAGCTACACAGCTACACTACATGTGGGTTGACATCCAAAGCGTCCGTGATCTTCTCAGTCGACGACGGAGTCCCGTGGTGTTGGGGCATTTTGGGGCTGTTGTCCTAGTCGTGGTGCTTCTCGATCTATTGGACGGTGAGTACTCTGAGAATTCTGAGAAAGATGTATTATGCGGACAGATGCAAAAGAAAGACACCTGCTCAAGAGCACCATTTCCCTTTGGACTTGGGAGTGGTGACGATTTGTCAGGCTTTTAACATAGCCCTCCAAGTCCAAAGACCCAGTAAAACCTGGTTTTGTTACCTCCTTGAGTATTGGTTTTGACCATCCCCAGTAGAATGAGGTCTTTGGACCTTTCGACATCTCATCCACCAGTCCCAGTCCCAGGCGGCGGGCTCCCAAGCTGCACAGGGAAACCCAACTTCCAACTAGCGCAGACCGCCTGGTGCGGCCAACAAGTGGAACCGGTGGCCTGTTACAAGGAGCACACCAGCCACCTGGTGGAACCGGCTGTGGAGTGGAGAGCTGGTGGATCCTTAAGGGACTTGGGCTTCAGATGGCTTCACTTGCAAGGGAATTGAAAAGGGGAGCCCATTCCACTGCTATTCTTGACTCCCGATAGCTAGGCTGCCAGTTAGGTGCTCAGAATTGCTTCCGGTGCCGCACATGTTTTTTGGATATCCTTCATGATAATTCCCTCCCGTAAAAACACAGAGTAGGGCATAGACAGAAGACGGGCAATCATCCCAATGTTCCGAAATTTCATGCATGGTCGCTTTCTTTGGGGGAGGGTCGTGAAATATTCTGGCCAAATCCATCCTTTGAGATGCTCTCAGGCCATCCAAGTAGTAGCAGGACAGCTACTAGACGTCTACTAATTTGCCATGTTTTGGATTCGATTATCAGGCATCTAGAATCGAGAGACATGAAAGCTCATGGCGACATCCATGGCTTGTTTTGAGGACCCGAACACCACCCGTCGTCTAGTTGTCCGATCCTGGAAGTCGCACCCGAAGAAGAGAACAAGAAATTGAGCACCCATTTGAGTCGTTTGCACGTGTACGTATATAGCAAATGAATGCAGACATGCACTTGGCTGCCTTTATGTATTCGGCTGGCTTTTCGTGAAGGGCAGTGACTCGCAGTTCTCGTCCTTCCAGATGCCAATCCCATTTGGGATTGCCACTTGTTTGCCGACGGCTGGTGCACCATTGGCGGCATTGCTTGCGCATGGCCCGGTGACACCGGTAAGCCTGTGCTGCCGCCGCTGCCGCCACCGCGGCCGCCGGTCGTGCCAGGGGAAGCAACGCGCTACTGGGCAGTGAGAGGCTAATCACAACAAAGAGCGAAGCTGGATTGCTCAGTTGTCTCTGGTGGTAAGAACTTGAACGCGTTGAACGTGCGTTGCAGGTTCGTGGATTTATTCTTTTAATGGCTACAGTTTTGTGAGCACCGTTTTGAATGAGCGTGTGTGCATATGCTAGGAAGAACCATTCACTCCATAGCAAGGGTGCTGAACCAAAAACAACAACTGATCTTTCTTATGCCATTGTCAGTAACAGAGCGTACCTCAGACGCCAAATCCTTTTCATAAGTGATCTTGGTTTCTCACATGTCACGCAACTCGTTGCGTCTCGAGGAGTTGCTGAAATTGCTGCGCGACCGAGCCAAGGCTTTGTAACCTGGAACCTTTACGTCTTCACCTTGGCTGGAAGGACTGGGCCCCCTGCAAGGGGGTAGGTGGCCCTTTGATTGGCTTTGGCAGATTGAACAGTTGAGCCAGGCTTTAAATAGAAACCCGGCAAGGCTCGGGAATGCGGGCAATCCAAGATGATGCTCAGCTGGATTTGAGATTAGTTACCTAGAACACAAGAGGAGCAGATGCCTCCAACCTTGTTGCTTTCACCTTGTCCGAGTCCAAGGACTCGGAACCGTTTGGCTGTTGGCTGTTGAAGTATACCGTAAGCGTGCCCTTTAGTCGCCTTTAGATGCCTTTAGTAGGCCAATTAAGTGATGGTGGCTGCCCTGGAAACTCTATAACATTCTATAGCCATCCGACACTGAGGCCCCTTGTCACGTGTTGCTCATTGGGCCCCGCAGCTCTCATAGATTTATACAATGTAATCCAACTTCTATCGTCTTCTACCTATCCCCAAAGGCAGCACTTGGGCGTGTGGAACTTCCATGTTGGCCAGGATAAATCCCGTGGTGGATGAGCTCATGCGGATGCAGCCCGAGATCGCAGCCATTCCAGAGATGTGGAGTGAAAAGGACCTGGCCTGGTGGGAAAGACTGCAGACGGGAAAGATAACTTTGTTCGGAGCTTCTTTGTGCATGTTGTTTGCATGGTCGTCCAGTGTTTGAGAGACAAGTAGTCAATGTCTTTGATGGTTGAGGCTAAAGTAGCCAAGCACTTGTGAACCTATGAGAATGCAGAGAGGTTGGCCAGGAATCCAGGAAACCGTTGCTTGTTTTTCTATAGGCACTGCATGCAGCATGCACTGCCACACCAGTGAAAACCATGCTCGACCAAGGAGGTCAGCTAGCCTAGTCAATGGCATCGCTGTCTCAGACGGTCCATCGCCGGATCGCTGGATTGGGATGGCATCACCGTAGCACGGATGAAACCGCCCTGCAACTCCGTGGCAGTCGTTGACCCAAGGTTTGACACAGATTCATCAATAGCACTTGGGATTTGCTCAAATCCCGTCAACTCCCACAAAGGAGTGCAATAGTTTCTGGCACCAAAATTGAAAAGGCTCCGCGGAATTTTTTGAAACCCCTCCGGTAGAAACGATGCGAGGCATTTCATACTTCAGACATCTTCAGACACTCTTTTGGTTGAGAGATGCTATAGGGTGTTTGTTCAGCTTTTGGTGGACTCTCGTTCTTTGTTGAACTAGCATGGATGGCATGTCAGATCAGATATTTGAAGCAACAAAAAGCAACCAGTTTGATGTGCAGAAGGGAAAGCTAGCAACTGGGGCATCACAAGATTAGACGAGCCCATGTTGATAGATAGCATAATCGTTTGAACGTCTCAAGTTTGTAGAGAATGAATCACATGCGGACCTTTTTAGCAGCGATGTGCGGCAGGACGCCATTTTGGCACGTCTCAACCAAGTCTCAGGCAACGTGTATGCCTTTGCCACCGGTGGGGCCACTGATGCTTGGTGGTGAGTTCTACTGGGTGGTGCAAGTTGGTCTGGGTCGACGTTGGCTTGAAAGGGGCTGATTTCAGTAAACTAAAAGCAAGTAGCTTGGCACATGAGAATTACATTGTTTCGTTGTATTTTAGAGTAAATCTGTAGGCCTGACTTGGGTGTTGCAGAAGTCAATGACAAAACATGAAAGCTTGGAATCTTGTAGAACGTGCAGTGCTAGTGTAGAGTACATGTTCAATATGCCCACTCCTGCCGTACTTGGATAGAACATGATAGAACTTGCAAACGGGACTCGTCGAGGCGTATCCGTATCGGAGGCCCCGGTGCCATATCACCCGACACCGTTCATTTGGACATGTGTTGTGCAGTTGTGCAACTGCTATGGGAAGTCTGCTGCGGTTCGGCCCCCGGCCACCGCTTAGTTGGGATTTCTCTCAGGTTTTGGCTGTAGCTCACCTGACTTCTAATGAGGAGTCTCGCTTTGGGTGCTCAACTTTGCTCGGCGATCGGAAAGTCGGCGATAAGCCAGTGGGCCAAATCACAGGGGCCTGTCCAATATTATGATGCTAGCCTGCTAGCACTGTACATGCAACAAAGCGAAAGAAGGCATGTCACAAAGTGCCGTACACTTTCCATCCAGCTTGAAAAGAGCCCGCGAACAGACAGATTTACATTCTTAGTTCGCCACCAATGAGCTGCAAACAAAGATGCCGGTAACATGATTAGACATGCATGTATGCGAGAACCTATCCCTTTTGCTAAGCTAACCAGCCAGCAACACTTGTGAGGCTGCCGCTTGCATGTCCAGCATTGCCAACTTCACAGTTATCAGAAAGAACTGCCAAGTGAACTGTTGCAAGTATTCACCCAAGTCGCATCAACTTGAGCCCGTGCATGACTACCATGCGCCCACCGAATCTACGCCCTGCCGGTGGCGCTCAGCCATGAAACCACCCCATGCACTCTGAAGACAGCCAGTTTCGCAGAGTCCGCCTTCTCAGAGGTTCATAGGACCTTCTTCATTGCAGCGCAGAGTCCGCCAAACCTCCTCCCCTTCGATCAAACTACATCATGTTACATCCATTTACACTACAGAAGTAAAGTTGGATCAAGTAGTAAGGCCAGGATCCCCTAGTAGCGTCCTTGTTCCTAGTAGCGATGCCAGGAGCCCCTAGTAGCGTCCTCTACCCACCACCCCGATGCCAGGCCCCACCCTGATGTCTGACCCAGCGTCCTCCCGCCCAGGAACAGTTCAACGACGCTGACATCCTCTTCCGGTCCGACAAATGGGAGCACATCGCCACTGGGACTGGCGAAAGTAGAGTATTCCTTGTGCTTGGTTGGAGGAAGGTTCCCCCAGTGCCACCTGAGATGGAAATTGATGGAAATGGCGAGGGTTTGGTGGGTCCAGATGTGTAGGGTATCTTCCTGCAGACAGATGCAACCAATTAAGTCACACTTATCCCACAATGGTTGGCTGGGAGTTGAGGCCCCCGCGCCCCAGCCTTTATGCGCACATGGGCCCAGGATAGCAACCTAGTGCCGTTCTCTGCAGGGCGTGCAGTGAACTGGGCAGTGCTGCGGCGCAAGGCGGATGGATACACCCTCATCGCAGCAGGCCGGGCATCATGGCAGACAGCATGGCAGACAGCATGGCCTGGATTAGGAAGATGGATGAAATGGTGGATCTGAGGTCAGGCAAGCAGTAAAATATGTGAACTACGTTGAACTGCATCACACCCGTGCAAAAGAACCCTATATATTCCTATATAAATTATATATAGATATGTCGACGTTGTGTGATTGTTTCTTCAATCTGGTCTTTCAGTTGCAGTTCAACACTTCCCGTTAGGTTGGTGCCGCTTGAAGAAGTGAAAACAATGAGCACACAACATCAACCAACCCCATGAAACCAAAGCAATTTGCCTCTTTCAGCCGCGAAAACACTAGAACTTGGAACGTTGTATGTATACATTTCTTTATTTGTATTTGTTTAATGTGTTGTAATGCGCACATCGCAACAATAGACCTCCCCTAGTGGATAAAAGGGGGGG